GTATGTGTGTGTGTGAGAACAGAAGTTTGAGCATTAGTGAGTTAAATGTGTGTGTCATTTGACCTTGGTCACTGCTAGAGAGGCCTAGTTTCTTGCCAAACTAATCAATAAGCCAAACAGGCAGAAGATGAGTATTTAGAGCATGGGAAGCTAAAGTCAAACACAGATAGGTTATCTACCCAGCACAGAGCGCACTCCTGTGCAAATATTTTGCTAACAAATTTTTCATGGTAACTTGCTTATAAAACGATGTCGCTCTCTTCCTCTTTATCCCTAGCCTCTTCTCACACTCTCTCTCTCTCTCTCTCTCTCTCTCTCTCTCTCTCTCTCTCTCTCTCTCTCTCTCTCTCTCTCTCTCTCTCTCTCTCTCTCTCTCTCTCTCTCTCTCTCTCTCTCTCTCTCTCTCTTTGCCTTCCCCGTCTCTCATCATCCAGTGAGTATGGAAAGACTGCTGGAGCCACGTGGCTTAGTGGCCGTGTATCACAATGTTACCACAGGTCAACAACTTGTCTCTAGGGATCAGTCAAACAGACAGAGGGAATTAGAGTCATGGAGCAGATATAAGCCTTTCATATTCATATGGAAAAATGGGGGATCCCGATGCAGGGACCGGTTAATATGTTACACTTCAAACCCTTTGATTTAGCGGACAAGGTTTGCGCCTTTGTTTATCTGAAGTGCAGTAACCAAATTAAAATGTTTTACATGTTTAATCACACATTCATTAACATAATGTTGCACCTTTAACATAAATGAATGATCCTGTCCTTTTTTTCTATTTGGCTCAATTTAATTTTCCTAGTTTGAAAAAGAAGTTACACCACATTTATACAAAAATATACATTATTATTATTATTTACTCGCTTTTAGAGAAATTCAAATCAAAAATATTAAATAAAACATCTGTCGTGAGTCGTGACTCACATGTCTTCTATTAATTTTTACCTCAGACAAAAAATTGTGAGGAATGAAATCACAGTGGATCTTCTTCACCTTTTGGTGACAGGTGGCACTATTAAATGAGAAAAAAAATTGTTACAATTAAAATGATCAAAATAAAATAATAGTGTGAGGAACGAAATCACGATGGGTGGTCTTCAACTTTTTGTGATAGGTGGCACTAATATAGGGGGATATTTTTTAAAATAACTATTTCCGTAAATCTCTTTCCATAGGGACAAAAGTGTTTTTAAAATGAGATTTATCTATTTTTTATCTATTATCTAGTATTAAGTATTTTTTACAGTGGGAAGACTGGAATACGCTGCACGACTTTTAAAACACTGCGCATCATACATTTGCCAACTTAGTAAATTATTACAGAGAAAAACTGGCAATCATACACGGAGTGACTAAGGATCACACACTACCAGACTTTCAAGTCTTTTCAAACTCACACAGAAAAAAATGTGCCTCATTGCTAGGAGACACATGACAAATAAACGCCATAAAGTGCGTATCATATGCATGCAAAAACTATTTTTGGCGTATAAATGGTACGAGAAATAAAAACTGTGCTATAGATACGGACTTTCATGAGATCAGGCTGAATCGGGTGAAAGCACATTTTAAACGGGTAACACTTATTCACACACGCAATCGCTCTCTCACTAATGCATTGTATTGAAACAAATGTAATCTTACAGTACTGTCTGTATTTAGAAATCATCTATAAGAAATGTAGTGACCCGTAGATAAAATAATTGATGAAAACGTAGTTATTTTCTTCTTTCCAAACAAAATTTGCACTGCAAAAAGCAGCAATGATATTTAACTTTTAATGCTGATAATCATGTAATAAGCTTAGCATGTGGAAAAGTGTGTACACTATCCAATAAACCACATTGAAACTATTCTCCTAGTATTGTTTATTTTATTTTTTTCAGCTAATATGTATTATGAGCAGAACTTTTGCGAGATTTCAAAGCATACTTATAATACTTTATTCGCAATTTCCTCTGGGAGCGAAGATGTAGCGGTGTTTCTGATATCAGTGAGCGAGGAGTGGAGCGGAGAGCAGTAAATGGTGAACCCGGAGCGGAGTGATTATTAAATGCTTGGAGCGCGGAAGGAAAATTGTTGCCGCTCCACTCCGATTACATACTCTGGTGAGCATGTAAGACATGCTGCTGCTGCTGCACATGTAACATACATGAAATAACCCCCATAGCAGATCTATACAGGTGGAGCTGGGGAAGGTGGAGGGTTCTGAGAGCTCGCTGCAGACTGCTAACAGCAACACTACCAGTATGTAAATGTTGAGCCGTAGCTCGATGTTCACTGATGCAACAGCAACCAATCAGCTGCGCTATGTAGATAATGATGTGATCGCTACCAAATAAGATAAGTACCTATCAGCCTGCGCCATCTAGAGTTTCATGCCAGAACTAGGTAAATCTTTGGAATATATCGCTGAACATTTATTAAACCATATAGTAAAAGTCAAATTTTCATCTCAGTTTTTAGTGTTTATTTAAAACGAGACCAATCTGCTGTTGTTTTGATCTCCAATCTGTTTAACAGTTTAGATACTTCTTTAAAGGGATAGTTCACTTTGAAATTAATTTTTGGTATGTTTTAGCTTACCTCAAGGGCATCCAAGATGTAGGTGTCTTTGTTTCCGCAGTAGTTTCAATTTTTATATTTTTAGGTCAAACCGTTCTTGTCTGTCAGTCATATAATGCAGGTCTATGGTCACCACCTCAAAGAGCATGCACAGAGAAGTCCAAATTAAACATGGTTTAATGACTCGTAAATGTAAGTACACATTGATGGCCTAAGACACGAAACGAGCGGTTTGTGTGAGAAAATGAACCGTATTTATATCGTTTTTACCTCTTGTAAACACAGCCACGTCCAAGTGATCTGAGGGCGCCGGCACTTCGGTCTTTTCCGGAAAGCGCCGGAAGTGATCTCTCGCGCGGGTACGTCACTCATTGTTTACACAGAACAGAGATTGTAGGTAAGACGGCTAATTAAAATGGTACTAATTTGCGCTTATCCGGGATGTTTAAACTGTCGTAAAAGAAAACAATTAAAAAAAATAAAAAATAAAACAATTGTATGAGTGACGTACACGCGCGAGAGCCGGCACCATTAGATCACTTGGACGTGGCTGTGTTTACAAGAGGTAAAAACGATATAAATACTGTTCATTTTCTCACACAAACCGCTCGTTTCGTGTCTTAGGCCATCAATGTGTACTTACATTTACGAGTCATTAAATCATGTTTAATTTGGACTTCTCTGTGTATGCTCTTTGAGGTGGTGACCATAGACCTGCATTATATGACTGACAGACAAGAACGGTTTTACCTAAAAATATCAAAATTGAAACTACTGCGGAAACAAAGACACCTACATCTTGGATGCCCTTGAGGTAAGCTAAAACATACCAAAAATTAATTCCAAATTGAACTATCCCTTTAATGCTTAGCTAACTAGCAGAAGAAACTAACCAGGTTTAAATCCCGGTTACACAGGTGGGGTACATTGTAACGCAGCACAATGTGTCCCGCTATTAGAAGTAGGCCTGCTGTTCTATGACGTTGGCGATATAATTCACATATACTTTTACAAATTTTATTGAGAAACAGGTGAATAAAGAATGAAAGTCAATGTTGTGAAATTATAATTTCAAGATATTTAAAGCATTCTGGCTTGTCTATTTGTCCCCTATTCTGTGAGAGCAGTGTGTGGAGGTATGGGAGGGGTGTTTTTTTTTTCTCTGCGTTTTTCTTAATGTCTGAATAGGTTTCTTTATCTATTTGCCCTTATTGTTTTGAACTACAGTATGCTGAATAACTGTTCATTGTCAAGCTCAAAAAATGGTTTATTTTTAATGACTAGTATTATAAAGTAAATTGAATTTTATTGAAAAAACATTTTAGTTTGTTGTCTTGTATATTTGTTATTAGATCAGATAACGTTTTAATCTGTCACATGGTCATGTTACAACCTGCCCTTAACATATTAAAATATGTCCCACCTGTGGGGCATGTTGTCACATTTCACTTCCATTCTTTCTGGGTAAATAAAGAAAAAAGTATACACTGTAATAATAAAAAAGACTGCTTTGTACTAGACGTGTTAAATTAATGTGGAAAAAAAAAAACGCTTCTATAACCCCAAGTGGATTTACACTAACTGAGAGAGTCAAAAAGTGTTAGGTCGTGTCCCGCTCTCCCCTGGTGTATAGCGTTAAGAAATATTTATGGCCGGTAAATATTTCTAATTCACCTGCTATTGGAAGGTGTGGCAAAATGTTAATTATGGATCCTGACTACATGATCTCATCATTTATCATCTTTGAGATTAAAATAGTGTTCTAAGAACCTGTTTTCCTCCTCTAGGCCTGGTTTTATGCCAATGTTGTTTAAAAAGGCATTATATACAATACATGTAAAAGTGCTGCTCAGAATATCATTGTCAGAAAGAAACAAAGAAAACCGAGATAACTGCATTTCCAGTTGAGATGAATTAAGTTTTGTCTGCTCAGCTGATGCCACACTACAAGGCAATCTGCTGATATAAATAGATCCTGTCCCTCTATTTACATGTTTATTTTCATAAAGTCTGTCATTATGTCTTTAATTGTAAGTCAAAGCTAAGATCATTTGCTGATGGTAGACAAGAGCTAACAGGGACGTTTTGAAGACTACAGCAATTTCTCCTCGGAAATCTGGCCTCGGGGGAAAGTGTCCTCACAGCAGCATTTTTTAAGATGTCAAGAACTCCTTTTTGTGCTGTAAAAACAAATTGTGACCTATTAATGTCTCGTTGGATTAAACAACTGTCCTGTAGATGCAGATTCAACAGCCTATTAGCAAAATGACTTTCCCATCGCTTGGATGCTTCCTATTTGTTTGTTTTCAGTTGCTTTCCCTTATTGTCATGCTGTTTGGTTAACAGTAAACGTGCATTCACAGAATATACAGTGCAGAATGAGTCATAAATGTATTTTTTCTCTATAATCTCTCTCTCTCTATCTCTCTTCGCAGTAAGATTTGTGGCAGTAAAGTATGTGATCCTCGGCAGGAATCATCTCCTCTAACATATGGGTGTCTCTTGGTCCAAAAGGCTTCTCTGTGGGCAAGGTGGGCATCTGCTCCTTAACATTCACACAGAGGAGACTGCTATTGCCTTCAGCAAGATGGACACAACAAACGCTCATCTTTACTGAGTAAGACCAATTTTACACAAAGAAATTGAAACAAGCCCTCCAGTTTGGAATCATATCTAAATATCATGGAAACAACACAAGAAAGCTAAAAAACAATTGCGTTTCATAATGTATTAACACCGATCATCAGTGTCTGTGGGAACAATGCGAGTCTGTATACAAGTTGTTGTGAATTTATCCCTTTGACTTCTATTGTAAGTGCGTAACTGTCAATGCTTTTACCCGAAATGACTTGCATTGCATTTAATGAATATATTTTATCATGCATTCTCTGGGAATCGAACCCCATGACTTTGGGAATGATGCCCTGGCAGAAAATTATTTATCTTACTTTTAAACTACTGTAAATGTTGCTTGCAATGATATGATATTAGGTAACACCATGACCATAAATATATTAGAAATATTTTTAGCTACACTATGGGTCACATGTTTGGGATCAAAGTTTGGGAAGCAATTGATTTTTTTTTTTATTCCGCATGGATGCATTAATTGATCAAAATGACTGCAAAGACTTTTATAGTATTACGAAATGCTTCCACTTAAAATAAACGCTATCTTTCTTTTCATCAAAGAATCCTGATCTTTTCATTAAGCAGCGCAATCATGTCAACTAGTTGTGATAATAAGAAAGGTTTCTTGAGCACCAAATCATGAATGATTTTCCAAAGAATCATGTAACACTGAAAACTGGAGTAATGGCTGCTGAGAACTGATTGACCTCACATTACATTACTACTAAATACGTTCCCTTCAACAGTCCATTATTAAATTATTCCATGCTAAACAGCAGTGACACATTTTCACAGAGGGTGAGTGATCCTGATGCATGTCTCTCACTCCATTTAAGTTGTCTTGTGAGGGTTTCACTGTAATCCTACGGCAAGTGCTGCCAGAGTTTAATCAAGATGATGGCTGCCATATGTCTCAGCTTGTGTTGAGACTTCTTCCCTCGAGCTCCACATTCTCAAGAGCATTTTGCACAGATTAGTGCAGCTACTCTCTCTCACTCGCTCTCTCATTAATTTTTTTCTATTCTCGCTATCAATCTCTTTTATCTCTGTCGGTCTATCTCTCATGAGAGGGAACACCCAGACAGTTTGGTCTGGCCAAGTTTGGTCAGTTTTTGCACTTGATTTTACTGGACCCAAATCATGGTGTGTGTTTTCTGTTTTTCAGGTTTACTAGGCAGTTATTTCATCTTCTAAAATGCTTAAAGCAAAAAAAAAAAAAAAAAAAACGAGAGCTGTCAGTCAATTTAAAATGAAATTAATTATGTGATATGCATGATGTGATTAATAAATTGAATTAATCACAATTAATCACATACAATATATCAACATATTTGCAGGGTAAAGCCCCCAAATGACGCTATTGACATTATAAAGTGCTGCAAAGGTTGACATATTTTTGTTGGCCTAAACCCAGAAACAAAGAATTAGCATTTCAAAGTAAAAAAAATTTTTTTTTAAATGTCTGAGATAAGATCTGTGGGTACCACAAGCTCAAGATATTTTCATGTTTTTTCTTTTTTTTTTTTTTAAGCTTTTACTTGTTTTGAAAAAGGTGGTTGCTAATGTGACTACAGTGGTTGTCGAACTATGGGACTTTTAACATCACCACATCGAACAGGTAAACTCGTCTACTTACTAGCTGACATTTACAGTTTCATTGTGTTTATACTCACGCACTTGCAAACTATCCAAACTCAAACTCTCCAACTTGTAGATTTTAAGTAAAGATTGAAAGAGTTGTCGGAAGCTTAGTGATGGTGACGTGTAACCCTGGTGTAGTTCGAATGTATGTTTAGCTTTTTACTTATGGAAATAGTCTTCAAATTTTATAAAAGTTGTGCTCATTTGTGTAATTATCATGACAGTTTTTTGTTGAGGGAACCAGGGTGATACTAAAAATACTTCATCACTGCAGAGCTCTTTCATTGTAAAGCTATTATTTTTTATTATACTTTTTTTTTCAGTTAATTTTGTGGTTGAATTTGTCTGAGGGAGATTGAGACCTTAACCCTGAAATCACAAAACACATTATTAAACCGTATCGGAGCAGTTTGTGAATGTCTGCTGTCTTCATGAGTTTCCTTGAGAGGCTTTTCTGTCCTGTCTTGTATTAGCAGACTACACTGTCACAAACATTTCATATTAATTAATGAGTATTTATGTATCATTTGAGTTTGTATTTTTAAAACTACTTATGTAAAATACCAAAGTCCATTTGAATTGTTGCTACAAGACATTTTACTTCAGTAATGTGATGTGTTTAAGAGTAAAAGTACAGGAAGGACAGGAATTGATTGGATTGTAAAAAGTTGAGCTTCCTTGTCCATCTGGAAACAATATTGTGTTCACAAGGTACCAAGTTTGTCAGGTTAGTGGCATCATTATCATTACTATTAGCCACTATTAAAACATATTACAAACAGAATATGAAAATAAAACAAATTTATTGGCTACTAAAATAATTATTTTCAATTTAATTATTTACTCACAATAATGGCTGACGCATAATGTAGTGTTTATATATATATATATATATATATATATATATATATATATATACTTTGAAGTGTGTGTGTGTATATATATATATATATATATATATATATATATATAAAACCAAAAATAAAGTAAAAACCGTAATATTGTACTGTTTGTGTGTGTGTGTGTGTGTGTGTGTGTGTGTGTAAAAACCGTAATATTGTACTGTTTGTCTGTGTGTGTGTATGTGTGTGTGTGTGTGTGTGTGTGTGTGATCTTGCAGAGTCTGCTGAGCTATGAAGGAGGTGTTCCGGACTCTCTGCTCTCCTACAGGATGACAGCTGGTGAGGAGCCGGCCTCTCCAATGAGGAAACCAGCGACATGCAAGAGGTGAAAAAGTCTCTGTTTCCTCCTTTCTCCTCTTCCTCCACGGCCAGCTCATCTTTTGAGAAGCATTTCTTTTCACCGTGTCTTGTACAGAAGGTCATTGGCGGAGGATGTTCTGGAACAAAAATGTCAAAGACATATTATTTTTTCTCCGTCCATCATCCTTACTGTTTTTTTCTCGGCGAATTATCACGAGGATAATACGTATTTGGCCATTCTTTTGATAAGTAAGAGAGTGCTGCTAAAGTTTGTGAATACAATAAATACAAGGAAAAACATGACAAATACACGCATGTGCATTATGCTAGTGTCCTCCGGGTTTATCTTAACCCGCTTATTATAATCACCATGGAATTACATCCACTTAGAAATGTTGCCGCATTCAGGCAAACCCACCCTTGACTTTAGTCGTACGGGTCTTCATTGTGCTTTCGCTCGTAATGTTTTCTTATTGTATTTTCCCTTTTCATAGGATCAACTTTCACACATTTCAGTCTGTGACCAAATGAATTAACACATATTAAGGCGAAGCGTGCGAGCCTTCCTCTGTGTGCAAGTGCTGGAGGCAGATAGACACTTATCGTAAGCTCTTTACATTGCTGTATTAATTCCAGCCATTGAGGGGGGAAAACAATTTGGAGGCGTTCTTGTCTCCAGCAGACAAACTTGATGCGGAGGGCCGCATTGATCAAAAGCCAGTTGGGTCGAGACCGCTGCATTCATGTGGTTTTCCTGGCCAAATATTATTTTTTCCATTGTGGATCACTTTTGTAAATGTGCTTTCTTTTCTGCGATAAAAAGCAAAAGTGAAAAGAAAAGGGACGAGTTTGCTGTGTCTCTCAGTAGGGCAGGGGGAGAGAGAGCGGGTGCATGGACGGGGTCTCTACGGGCTCCGCTGGCTTCAGTTGAAGGTGGCGAGGATGTCACACGCGGGCATTGTGTCATGTAAACGTCTCTTCACTAATTAATTTCTCTCTGGGTTGCCGTGTGAAACGGCCCTGGTGTGATTCGACCCTGTGAGCTTGTGCCCATTGTCTGTAAAGTGACAGGGAAAAGTGATGTTTTAAAGAGAATACCGCGATGTCCCTCTACATGTGAGGGTCAATGACAAATAAAGATGTCCGAGATGATGAAAGGAGAAATTGCTTAAAAATCTAGTTCACAATGCATGTGCCAAATTATTATGAATGTAATCTCTTCTATTTTTTTTTTTGTACAGTTTAAAAAAAAAAAAAGATTTTAAAAGTAATGGTGTTATCATCACTGAAAAAGTGATAAAATATTACACTTTTAATACACTATACTGTATCATTATATATATATAAAAAAATGATTTTCAAATGAGAGATCATGAAATTTAATTAGGGTTACTCTGTTCGGTCATGTAAAGGTCAGAATATTTATTTTAACTTACTGACCTTGACACATAGTCATGAGAGTCTACGGGGGTCCTCTCTGTGAGATCATTTCCTGTTTTATTTGTTTTGGTCACATGACGACAAAATGACTTCCTGCATGTTGGTTACACCACAGTGAATTTGATTTATAAATATAAAATATAACATTTTTATATAACATTATAATCATATTTTAAAGCAAAACCAATGGTCCCAATTTATATATAAAGTAGTGTCTTTAACTACTATGTACTTGTATTTTAATTTATTTGATACAATGCACTTATTGTGTACATCCATGTTTTTACATTGCAAAAAAAAAATTATGCAAGTACATAGTAGTTACAGACACCTTATTTAAAGTGTGACCAATATAATAATACAGTATTAAAGTGTAGGCAAAAATGTAAGTGTTAATTAGACTTATTTCTTTGTTTCATTCTGTTACACCACATGGACATTTTTTTTACTTTAAGCACAAAAGAATGCAAATTACTTATAATTCAGAAATTTAAAACATGCTCTCCATAGACAACTTAATAGATTCAAACAAAAAAAGAGCTGCACATTACTCATTGCACTCTCTCTCTCTCTCTCTCTCTCTCTCTCTCTCTCTCTCTCTCTCTCTCTCTCTCTCTCTCTCTCTCTCTCTCTCTCTCTCTCTCTCTCTCTCTCTCTCTCTCTCTCTCTGTCCCCCTCCCCCTGTCTGTTCTCATAAAATTCTCAGGTTGTTGACACACTTAAGACAGAAGCTCACTTTTCTTATGTTGGCAAACATGACCACCTGCCAAGTCGTATTCAATAGGGAGACCTTAACCACAAATGATAATGTCTGCAATATAGAGACAATAGATAAAGAAAAAATTAATACAAAGGAGCTTTCTGTTCAAGCCCTGTTTTCTTTACAACTACCTCACTGGAAGACAGGGGATAGTCCATTAGGGACACGTTGATAAGACAATATTTACTCAGGAGGAACAAGTTCAAAGAGACCATGCTTTTTAACCCTGGTCTTGAAACCGAGGACATTGAGACTGGCAGGTGTTTTTGCTGAGTTGTTCTGTGGTGATTCAAAAGATCCTTTTTTCCTCAGTGGCTTTAGGAGCTTGACGTCTGTGTGAACCACTATGGTTTGCATATTTGTCTTTATTTATTCAGCCTAGAGCATTAGTTATTGTGATGTTGATGGGATCTAACATATAAAAACCTATTTCCAGGACGCAGTTTAGCTTTGTCTTTAACAAATAAAGAAACAACAGTGAGGGTGCGACTTAGCCCAGGGCATGGCATAAAGGAAGAGTTCCCTTAAAATTAAAAATTTGGTCATTATTTACTCACCGTCTTGTAACATTGTCCTGTCGTCCACCTATGCTGGGTTTTTTTTGGTGAACATAAATATATATATATATATTTTTTTTGTTGAAAAATCTTTATGCAGATCTTTCCGTACAACAACTGACTATATCTCTAAAAAGATCATCAAAGTGGGCCATATGACTTGTGCAGCCATGCATACCATACTTTCTGTACTCATACTTTTACAATGGTTTCGAATAGATGACAATTAAATAGTAATCTGCCCCTTTGCGAGACCTCGACTCAATTAAAAAATGTGGTGTCATATTTGGCTATTGTCATTGATGTTGACATGGATAGACATGATGAGTCTGGATAGTTCACCCAAAAATGTTAATTCTGTCATCAAATACTTACCCTTATGTCCTTCCAAGCTCATAAGACTTTCATTCATCTTCCAAACACTACTGAGATATCTGTCCACTCCATTGAAAGTCCAAGCAGGCATTTGTTTACCATATTTGACATGCTCTGTATAGGTTGATTAATGTTTATATGTGAATAAAAGTTCATCATATATCATGTCTTGGATTTAACCGCTCGTTTCATATGGATTACTTTTACTATGTCTTTATGAATGTTTTGATTGTGTGTATTTTCAATGGACAAACAAATCAGATTTCATTAAAAATATCTTCATTTGTGTTTCAAAGATAAATAAAAGTCTTATAGATTTGGAACAACATAAAGGTTAGAAAATGGCGAACTAACCATTTAAATTTCAGTCACACAATCGTGAATCCAGAAGACTTGGAATATAGCGCATATTGACCAATTTATAGTGCCGTTGAAGAATGGAAAGAAAATTTCTAGTTTTGTAGGAGTGTACAGGGTTGGATGACATGAATGAATAATATCTGAATTTCATTTTAAGCAGACCTATCCCCTTAATCTGTGTCAGAATAACCAAGCTAATACGATGATTCCAGCGTTGTTCACGGCCAACAGGAAATCCAAACTAGATATTCCATCATAAATGAAGCATATCACAAATGTACAGTCCATAACCATAATTATCATCTGTCATTCTCATGCGAGAGATGTACATGCGCAGTGTCTTTATGGTGTGGTAATACACTAAAAGCTCCAAGGGCACGGCATCCCTGTGCAGATGTGCTCTTTCTTCCTCATTACCCATCAGTGCTCTAGCGGAGCCCTGATTCGGCCGGCTACAGCAGGCATGATATCACCCATCCTCTGCACGCGTGTGTGTGTGTATGTGTGTGTCTTATCCATGTTTGTCCCTGGAACCCTTCCAAAAGTGGCTTTGCCACCCTGCTAGCCAAATAAGCAGAAGAAAGTGCAGTGTTTTTCTGCCTGGACGAACCCGACCTTTGCTTTTTCTTGTGCAAGCGAGCAAGCAGGTGACCGCTGCCCAAGTCGATCACCTCCTCCGGGTTCACCCGTGTTTACCTTCCTCGTCGCTGTCGTTCTCTTGCCTCTGGACTTTAGCGTCCTGTCGCCCTGCCAAAGCCCGGTCGCTTCCAGGGTCCCTTCTCCCGGAATCAAAAAGCAGCTAAAGAGGTTAATGCACTCAAGTAAGGATGAACAACCAGCTGTTAACATTCTCATATTTAATACCTAACTCATCCAGAAGACATCAGGCATAGAGATGGAAGGGAGAGAGTCTGGAGCTTATGGCGCTCACATCTGCTTTGTACATTTTGGTTGGGAAGAGTATCTTAAACACTTGAGAATGACAATACCCTGAGATGAGCTGGACTTAAGCAGAGATAAAAGCAGATAATGGAGGGTCAATGTAGGATGATTTGTCAAGAGATCATAAATGTCCTTTTTTAATTTTGTTTTGGTTGATTCGCTTCTTTCGTATAATAAAAAGCAATACATAAAAAAAACCCCATCTAAGCCAAAACAAAACATGCCCTTAAAATGTCATCAAGTCTATAATCAAACTAAGATCACCATGGCAAATTTCATGTCCTGTGTTTGTCCGAATGATCTCCGCCGATACGTAAGCAGTGCATCAATCCAGGTCAGATCTCCGATCTGAGACGGAGATGGAATAGAGCTGTTTTTCTAGTTTAGCAGAGGTGGAAAACAACTCTTGGATGCAGCTGTGTGCCACTGCACCACCTGCCCTTGACCCCCCAAACCTGAATGGAAAAAAAGGAGATTCTTTTTTCCAACTTTCATGTGATTCCAAACAGGAAATTTTAGGAAGGAGGTAAGAGAGGTGGAAAAATAGTTACTGTAGATTTTATTCATTTCTTTTTTCCAGGTGGAGATTTATGACTTGATGGCGTTAGAGTCAGATAAAAATACTTGCTTTCTTGGTCATGACTAGCTACTGCTGCACATGCAAACAACTTTTTTTTTTTTTTGTTGATAAAACAAGAATAATAAATACATTTTAATCATATTGAATGGCCGTATACGAGAAAAACAAGCGCTTATCATTGAAAGAATAGCTGTAAAGATCCTCTCACATGCTTGTCATGATTTAGGGGGTGAATAGACATGACAGCTGAGAAAAAAAGCTCACACACGCAGATGCAGCCAGCACCATGCCTTTAGCCCATGACCGTCAGCTGTTTAGCAAATCTGTGATCCTGAGGGGAGTCCTGTCCATTATACATGCGGCACTTAAAGGGACAATTGGCCATTTTTTTTTTCATCAAGATGTCCAAGATACTTTATGTTATTGTTGCAAAATCTAGTAAGACTTCTCCAGTGCTCAGAATGTGAAAGCTGATCTGAAGAATAGTAAACTTTAATTATGCTGCCTCATTTTAGCCAAATTATAAGGCACAATCCCATGTATGATTCATGGTGAAAGCAAGAGTGCATTGCAATAGTTCAGTGAAAAAAAGCCATCCAAGATGATGGATGAGATGAAAGAAAGGTTAATAATTTAAATGCTTATATTTTACATTCAACACTTAAAAAAGTAAATGTTTATAGAAAAGGATATATATATATATATATATATATATATATATATATATATATAATAGTCGTTATTTTACCCATTTGTATTGGCCTATTTCTGTATGCTAAGTATTTTCTGTGTCTAAAGTATTGCGGTGTTAGCTTAGCAGCATGCTAACAGCAAATACTATTCGAGTCAAGCTGCTGCATGAGCGGTAAGCGCTTGAAATCACTTATGAGATTCATAATGGTTAACATGCTGGTTTAGAAGGAACTCCCTGGTTAAGTATGTGCACTGCCCAGGATTTCCGTCTCATTGTCAACATCGATCCAGTGTGCTAAAACAATTGTTCTCTTAAAATTTCCCACAATGCAACACAGACCAGTTCAAGCTGACAAAAATGGAATATCAGCTCATATTTCATGATAGCACTGCGCTTTTTAACAGATACAATGAAGATGCATTAGCAAAGCAATTTATACTAAAAGGTCAAGTCATAGTGTGTTGCATAGCAATTTTGTTTATAAAAAACAGTGATGTTTTAATGCGTGATGATGTAAACGTGTCGCAGGACAGCAGGTCATCCAGTGTTAAGTCTATTAAAGCCCTTGCTAGTGCTCCAATTTGGCCTCGTCCCAAATGGCACACTTCATATGCACTTACAAGACCATAGGGTGTCCCATTTTTTGTATTTTATGTTTCAGAATATGCGGCCGATATGCGCCCTCAATGCATACTTTTGCCGAGCTTGCGAGCTCCTCTGCAGACTTCTACCTGCCGGTCAAGGTGGCATTACTTCAAGAAAGTGCAGACTCTGATGAAGATCGTGAGGGCTGAAGGTTCCATTTGGAACAGGGCCTTTGTGTTCACACTCTACTGATACATATAGTGCACATAGGGAGTGGACTGAGGCATTTTTTGGGACAGAGCTCATATTACTGTATGTGCGGATCTTAAGAAAGGGCTGCTTGATCCGTTGCGGTGGCCTTTGAATGTGTACGCTCAGATGTTTTTAGGTACTTCAGAAGAGTCTTTGTTTGAACTAGGCTTGCAACCTAATAACTCTTATTGTGTTAAGGCAGATGCAGACGCTCACACACCCACACACACAAGGAGCTTTTGCCATTATGAACAATACACGGTCAGTTGAGAAGACGAAAAGAGCCGTATGACTCTGATTCATACAGCAGTGTTTAGTGATATTTATAACCAGTTTAAGGGGTGTTTCCTCAGTTCAAACACTTTAAAAATACACGTATTATTTGCGAGGATTCAAATGGGAATACATTTTACTGCTATGTCAAAAGTCACTTGTACAAAACAATTGTTAGTGCCTAACTTTTTTTTGTCAAGTTAAACCCATGACCTTTATCACATTTTAAATAGTTTTTTTAACAATAATAATGATTTTTAAATCATCTTTGCATGTTCACTAACATCTTTTTCTATTGATATGATTACTGCTGCATTATTATAATTTCAATGTGTTTTATTTCATTTAGTTTTACATTTTAGCACTTCTACCATAATCTCAACTTTTTGTAGATGAACAACCCGTTTGGGAAACCCTAACAATGTTATTGTTTTACTTCCTCTTATTTTCAACTTTGGTTTCTCCTGTCTTTTATGTAAATCGGTCTGGTTTGGTTTAGGATTTGGAGGACCATAGAGGTCATTTCATTGGCTGACCCTTTCTACAGGGAATAAAACAACACCGAAAACAAGGCGTGTGCCAGGGGAGCGAGGTGAGGAGGTGGGCTTCGCGATCTCAGAGGTGTGATTGAAACTTTGGCAGCAAACTGAGCCAGGTGGACACTGCAAGGCCCCCAAGTCACCTAACAATTTTGTCACTCTTACACAGCTCCACACCCCCGCGGTATTAACCCTGCACCGCTGGTGTCAGACATTAACAGCCTTCTGATAGTCAAATTATGTGAAGGGGGGGGATAAAATGATTGTAAAACTAGTTCTTTTCCCACCCATGTAATTGAAATCTACCTCTCGGCAAACAAAGAGAGGGCATTAGCTGTGTCCTCCCAGTGTTTAGAGGAGCCACTCAATATGTGCTGTTGGCAGAAGAATAGAATCGTTATATCACAACCTTCAGTATTCTTGGCCGTCAAACAAAAAGAGCCATGTGATTTTCTGAAGACATCCCTCATGTGACTGTGAAAAGAGAGAACACTGTGCCGGACAATGACGGACACCGGCATCTCTTCCACTCTTTTTTTTTTTTTCTCTGCCTCTCGCTTTCGCCTCGTTCTATCTTTTTTTATCCCCCCTACGTTCCGAACAAAGGCGAGAGGCTTGGTTGAGACGATCTGTGCACAAAGCAGGAAACTTTGTGGTTCAGAAGCATGTCATATCACAAAAGGCAGGGATCAGGAGGATGTGTTGCTAGGCGCCGTGATTGTGTCAGCACTGCTGGCCAGAACATTTCCTTACAGGTGAACTTTTAAATGGAGACTGACAGATATATGCTTCCTGCTATTTTACAGAACGGCGAAGCCCGAAGCAGCCCCCAAGATCCTTTGCATCACTCCTCGGGCCAATCATCTCTGTTTGAGGTACGTGACATAGCAAGTGCCCTCCTGTAAAATCCGTACCCATGGGATTGCTCTGTTTCTCTGTGTTTGGGCAGCTTGGCGCGGTTCAAACAGGGTTCAGGAAAGTGCACGCTTGTGAGGGTACGCAAGATCTACAGGAACCCCTTCATGTGCTCGGTCAGTGTTGGAGAGTCAACCTCGCACATGAATAATTGTGACATTTTTCATCACAGGCGTCCAGTGTCATTACAAACACGCTTCCATTGTGACCCGTAAAGTTGAAAGGGCATCGCCAAATATGGTTAATGACGTATATTCCTGTGTCTGTCAGCACGTGTCGCTCTGCCCAAGTTTAATTTGACCCCTTTTGAAAACAACTAATTTCCTGTGGAATTCACATTAACTCTCCAGAATTAGGCTTGTTGATCTTTGCAAAAAAAGTTTACAAAAGGTGGATGGGGTGTGGAGGAGATATTTATGTGTTTGACGTATAACACGGTCTCTTTAATTGCCGCCTTGAAAATGAAACAGAAATAAAATGTTGGAGTTTTTTTTTTAATGTTTAAGTGTGTGTGTGTGTGTGTGTGTGTGTGTGTGTGTGTGTGTGGCCTGGTAAACCCTACGTTATGGGGACAAAATGTCCCCACAAGGATGGCAATATCCGAAATCCTTGTTCGTGTGGGGACATTTTTTGGTCCCCATGAGGAAATCAGCTTATAAATCATACTAAGTGATGTTGTTTGAAAATGTAAAAATGCAGAATGTTTCCTGTGATGGGTAGGTTTAGGGATAGGGGCAGTGTAAGGGAATAGAATATACAGTCTGTACAGTATAAAAATCATTATGTCTATGGAAAGTCCCCATAAAACATGAAAACACAACATGTGTGTGTGTGTGTGTGTGTGTGTGTGTGTGTGTGTGTGTGTGTGTGTGTGTGTGTGTGTGTGTGTGTGTGTGTGTGTGTGTGTGTGTGTGTGTGTGTGTGTGTGTGTGTGTGTGTGTGTGTGTGTGTGTGTGTGTGAACCCTACATTATGGGGACAAAGATGGCAATATCCGAAATCCAGGTTAGGGGATAGAATATACAGTTTGTACAGTTTAAAAATCATTGTTTATGGAAAGTCAACCTACGTGTATGTGTGTACAAGAAAGAATCAATACTGTTTGTGTATCACTGACTGATTTAAACAGCCTTTTTCATATTTCATATAAACAGTCTATAAAGCTATTCAGTTATTATTTTATAATTTAGTATATTGTAGATTTATTATAAATACTTTTGTTCTCAATGGCCACAGTATATATAAAAAATAAAATAATGCTCGATAAATATATTTCTTCCAGTTGTTATCCCCAGCAGGGACTTCAAGCGTGGAGCACCTCTTTTTTCCCCTCTGAATTGGATTTAAATAACATAAAATGTATTTACGAATTTGCTTATATATTGTTTGTTCTTGTTGTATACATAGATTGTATATAACAAGAACATTGTTATTTCAGTGGTCAGAACAACTTCCGGCAGCTAAAGGGTTAAAAGTACAGCAAGACTTTGCTAACTTGTTTGTCTGCCGTAGACTGAATGGAGTCTTGAAGTAATTCTTCCCAAAGTCAAACTGTTGAAAGATAATGCAACAGGGGAAATCCATAACGGCTACCCACGATTATGTATCCAGGATGTCCCATTCAGACTGACAGTGTCCTCATGGCCAGACCCCTGAGGGGGGAGAGGGAGGTGCAAGGAGGTGAAAGGACGTGCCAAGGTCAAATGTGTCTGTGGTCTTATTTTCTTCCTCTTTTGTGGGAGCAAAACACATTCCAAACAGATGGTCTCGTCGATCGCGAAAAAAGTCTTATTGTTACTTGTATCCTAAAGGTCCTGGGGGTCAAAGTTACTGGACAAATCTGTGGGACTGGAGTGGGAACATGAATGGCGTTGACAGGTGTTTAGTGATTATGTAAAAAAAAAAAAAAAAAGAGCCAGTTAACTGATGTGTAAAAGCTTTTTATGCTTTCGAATTTTGTCTCGCCTTTTTTCTCTTTCTGTTTTAGCAGCTCCACGAGCTCAGCCTGAAAAAGCATCTATTCTGAGGCACTTGCCTCGACGTTAGTCAGACTATTGACGCTTTCCTGTTTGATGTCTCTCCTAGCAGTAACATCAAACAATCAACAAGCAAAACCTCTCTCAGCATTGACCGAGTGTACAAAGTATTCGTTTCATTTTTCCGAGGCACTGAAGTGCTAAACATGTTTAAAGAAACCTTCACAATGCGGCCTCCCAGGAGGTATTTCGAGGCTAAACGAGGTTAAAAGGAAGTTTTGTTGTCTCAGACAATGTTGCTATCTGTCTCAATACATGATTTCCCTTTCAGTTTGCATGTTCTTTTGCCTCCAAACAATTTTCCTTCCCCTTTCATTTTTTCCCCGTCGCTCAGATCAGTCATAGACGGCTGTTAAGTGGCAGTCAAACCAAGAAGCACAGAGTGCAAAACCGCCGTTCAGTAAAATAACCTTGCCAAAGGGTCTTTCCCCCCACCCCTAACGCACATAGCTGGCTCCATCTTTGTGTATTGAGTGAGTTAAATCAATGGCAAAATGTTGGCACTTTACACAGGACAGTGACCAGGAAGCCCTCCCCCGTGTGATTGACACTTGAAACGTGTGCGCGGACGGAGCCAGGGGCGCTGCTCCACGCTTGAAGTCTCTGCTGGGGATAACAACTGGTGACATCTGCAGAAGGGGCCGACAGAAAGGCAGTTGAAAGCCATGTTTGTTGCCTTGGCCCGCTCAGATCTTCCTGCTTTTATGAAGCCTCCACCCCCCCACCCCCCTCCTCTGCTTTAATATTATGATTCAGCACCTGGCTCTTTTGAACCTTGCTTCAAAACTTCAAAAGAGGAGGGTGGCATTAAACAACATGAAATAGGTATGGAAGGGGGACGACGGTAGGGTGTTGGCAGTAAGGGCCGAGAGGGCGCGGGGACGCGGGTCGGATGATTGAGGTAAAAGGAAGAAGGATGCTCCGGCGGCTTGATTTCGCTCTCATCATCTTAGCGGGGATATATCTTTTTATTTTTTTTGTGGCCACCGCTTCTCTGCCATCTTTAGAGATGTGTGCCATTACCGTTTTTGTAACATCAGATAGCGGTCGGGCATAATGAGGGTTTTGAATATGGGGCCGGTGGGCTAATGCACAGTTGTAGGGATAATAGAGACAGAAACCGATAGGGGTGTGTCTGCCAAAAGCAAGTACGGGATGCCGTATTTGTAAATGACTGAGGAAAATGGCAGTGGGAAAAAATAATGGAATGGCACGCTTTCGTCTCGCTGCCTTGACCATATAGTGCTAATAACTGCTGTTGGTTGGTGGCAAAGTGTGAGAGTCTGCTGTACGAAACTGTCCCAAACTGAGTACACTTTAAGGGCAAAGGTCACCCAGAAATAAAAATTCTGTCATCATTTACAGTACTCATCTTCATGTCTTTCAAAACCCCCTTTTTTTCTTTTAGTATTTTCAGCCGAACACAAAACAAGACATTTTACATAATGTTCATGCTGCTCTTTTCCGTACAATTAAATTGAATGGGGACCATGACCGGCGTCAAGCAAAGTTTTCAGTGAATTATGGCTTAAATTTCTGTCTGTTCCTCACACAAAGGTATCATACAGCTTTAGACTACACAATATACCGGTATTGACAATAACTGTGACACTTAAACAAATGAAATATTGATTTCATGTTTATACATAAATGATGATAATTCAGCTTTCACGTTTCCCACTGTGAGAAATTGAATTATTTGTTATTTTTTTGGATTCCGTAAAAAAAGTTGGCAAACACCCAAGTCCGCAGGAAATGCCAATCAACAGTGAGTTCTTATTGTACGCTTTTTTTTTACTGTAAGTTACAAACTCTCTCTCTACCTCCCTGCACTCATATTTTGAGTGATGCATTGGCCAATAAGAGAAAACACCTAAATGAAGTTAAAGATGAATGACGGACGGACAGATGGATAGATTAATCAAAACTATTCATATAGTGACAGATGGAATAAGTTAGGTTACCCTAAAGTCCATTATTTCACCAGAGACTTTAGCTTAATAAAATCGAATACATAGGAACTGTTTAGAGAATTTAAATGAAATCTTTTTTCAATATCAACAGTAATTCTGTTTAAAAAAAAAAAACATGAATCCACATATACTACTAAACTAAATATCCTGCATATTTTAACAGCATTAGCACTGGGAAGTGACTGTAAAATTAATTAAAGGCACATTATACCAGCCTCCATTCAGCCGAACTGCAAATTCTTTTGACGCCACTTACCCTTGATACTCACTTTAATAGTGATCTTTATTGTGGCAAGATCTGAAAAGTCAAAAGCTATTACTTCAGCTCAGCGCTATTAAAGGAAACTCTTTCTTTCCACCCGATCCCTGCACCTTGCTCTCAGACCTGCTGTAGCCATGACGCCCTGAGCTGACCATAAAGGCCCTGGGTAACATTGAGTCAAGGACGCTTAATGGATGCTAAAGCACAAACAACGGAGCTCCAAGCATGCCAGAGCAGACCTAACCTGGGGCACAGACATCAAAATGCAGGTTGGAGATTTGACATTCCTGCAGGCACTAAATGCCTCGCCAGTGATTTGAAAAAAAAAGAAAAGAAAAAAAGAAAGGAAAAGTCAATATCCCCCTCCTGTTTCTAAACGCTCACTATCTGATGAGCACGGGTAATGCAGATCTGATTCTGCTGTGACAAAAGGGCCGCGCTAAGGACAGCCTGAAATGTCTCTCTCGCTTTTTTCCATTTCCTCTAACTCGCACACTCCCGCTTGTGTGTGTGTGTGTGTGTGTGTGTGCGCTCGCACAAATGCTCACCACTCTTTGAGCCCTTTGATAATAATAACGACAGTGGGAAAGATTATCACAGTTGGCCACTCCTGAACTTCAAGGTTAAAGGAGCACTGCAATTGTGGCTTTGTGTTTACCAAAGAAAGGCTAATGATGAATTAATTAGCTATGGACTACGTTTGCTGTCTCCGCATCTATCTGAGGACCTTTCACATCCTCTAAGTGGAAGAATGCTTTCATAAAGAAACATGAAGCACTTGTACTGTATGTAATGTGCTTCATATAAAACCCCCTTATGAATATACATTCCATAAATTAGCATGTCTTCTAATCAAATGCG